GAACTGTGAAGAACAGGAAAAATACGCAGCAGTGCAGCGTTACAGTGTGTGATGTGTTCACCACTGTCACGCATCCCTCGGGCTCAGAGGTTGCGAGGTATTGCTTCTTGTCCTAAGAGCTACTGAGCTTCATCTGTTTTTGTGATTCTTCTCGTTCTGACTGAATTTTGACATTTTGACTTTTGCCCTTTTTGCCTTTGCCCCTTGGACTCTGGTTGCCAGGTTATGTTTGTGCTTTTGGATTGTGATTCTAACATTAAAGCCTCACTTTCTCTTTTTATCTGCGAGCATCTGAGTTGTTTTCTCCGCTCTATGTTGCCAGTCTTTTGCAGCTTTTTCCATTTTCATTTCACTGTTACATGTTACTCATAATTAATTACAACCACCAACCTTTGATAGTCACTTCTTCTCTCATCGGATTCACGAGACCCCTGGAAAGGACTCAATTCAGCCACCGAAACAACGTGAGTATCAGTGTGGCAGACCGCGAGCTGTTGCTTTGCTCTGAGTGCTGCATGTTTAGTTATGCTTCTCTCTCCTTCACCAGTGACAGCAGTGTTACTAGCTTTGTTTGTGAGAAGTGTAAGTTAGTTTCATGTTTGACAGAGAAGATTATACAGTTAGAGGTGCATCCAGAAGTTAGAAAAGAGCAGGGCTGGTCAGCAGGGCTCAGACTCGCTGTTAGAAGCTCCAGGTGCCTCAGGGAGAGCTAGCACACCCTCGACTCCGGCAGCAGAGCACTCAGAGCACGGCGAGTGTGTGGCGTCTCGGCGGCATAGCCGCAAAGCTAAAGCTAAAGCTACCCCACGCAAGCACCACTCATCTCCCATTCACACAGGTTTTGCCCCACTCAGTGAGACACCCTCTGAGACACCTGTTGAAAGAGCTCTGGTTATAGGGGGTTCTATAGTAGTTGTGGGCTGAAGGGTTAGGAACCGGCCTTGCGACCGGAAGGTCACCGGTTCAATCCTCTGAGCTGACAGTACATGACCGAAGTGCCCCTGAGCAAGGCACCTAACCCCCAACTGCTCCCCAGGTGCTGCGGATAGGGCTGCCCACCGCTCTGGGCAAGGGTGCTCACTGCCCCCTAGTGTGTGTCTTCGCTAGTGTGTATGTGGTGTTTCACTGCACGCATGGGTTAAATGTGGAGGTGAAATTTCCCCGTTGTGGAACTAATAAGGGTCTCTTAATCTTACAGCATGTGAAAATAGCTTCTCCTTTAGGGGCGCCAGTAGCAGTTAACTGTATACCAGGAGCCAGGGTGCCAGACATTAGAGGGAACCTGAAGCTGCTGGCTAGCCATAGATATTTGTGGAGAGTCATGCATGTAAGTTCTAATGACGTTCATCTGCGGCAGTCAGAAATAACTAAAGATAGGGTTAAAGAGGTGTGTAAACATCCCAGATGAATTCAAATGCTGTAATGTGCTCTGGTCCCATCCCAGTTCGACGTGCCGCCAAAATCTACAGCAGGTTATGGTCGCTAAACTGCTGGTTGTCCAAGTGGTGCTCAGAAAACAATGTGGGCTTTGTAGACAATTGGTCTACTTTTGAGGGCAATCCTGGTCTCTTGAGTGGGGATGGTATCCACCCCTCACAGGAGGGTGCTGCTCTCATTTCATGTGGCATAGCTCGAACTCTCTCAGATAGCGGTCAGTGTAGGACAGTTTGTCGCTGACAAACCAGGGCAGAGGCCAGGCAGCAGACAAACAGGCTAAACCAACCGTCTGCGAGCCGCCTTGAGACGCCACTTAGGTTCCACCCAATTGAGACTGTGTCTGTTCCCTGAATAAAACAAAGCATCAAAAAAAAATTTAAAAGTTTGCTCTAGTAATTTGATTAATATCAGACCAGTTATACCAGTTTGCAGTGACAGCACCTTTGATCTAAAACTAGGACTGCTTAACAGAAGATCTCTTACATCTAAAGCTGTCATTGTAAAAGAAATTATTACTGATCACGACTTTGATGCAGTAACTGATTGTGCTGCGTCCACAGTCACACCCTGAGACTCAACACTGAAACACACACACAGAGGAGACATAACAGTTCATATAAGCCTCATTATTACACTAGATGACTGTTTTAAAGAGGTTTAAAAGTAAGTTTAAGCTGCTTTGGGCTCAGAACTGATCTAGAACTCTTTTCCTCTTTGCACCTCAACCTGCGACGCAGCTTCAATGAAGCCAACAGTTTTCGTCTCACTGTAATAAAAATACTGTGATCACTTAAGCAGTGCATGATGCAGAGCTCCTGAAGTGACATGGTGGATTTTTTTAGGTTAAAATCTGGTGCACAACATATACTACGTGGTGAGCACCTAATACTATCAGGTGTGCACCAGATACTATGTGGAGAGCATACAATACTATGTGGTGAGCACCCAATACTATCAGGTGTACAAAAGATACTATGTGGAGAGCACCCGATACTGTTTTGATCACCCAATCGTATCAGGTGTGCACCAGATACTATGTGGAGAGAACCCAATACTATCAGGTGTGCACCAGATACTATGTGGAGAGAACCCAATACTATCAGGTGTGCACGAGATACTATGTGGAGAGCACCTGATACCATATGTAGAGCACCCGATACTATCAGGTGTGCACCAGATACAAAGATCAGGATTTGATACTATGCTGTGAGCACCTAATACGATCAGGTGGGCACCAGATACTATGTGAGCACCCAATATTATCAGGGGTGCACCAGATACTATGGGGAGAGCACCTGATACCATGCGGTGAGCGCCCAATACTATTAGGTGTGCACCAGATACTATGGAAAGCATCCAATACTATATATTGAGCACCTGACTTTATCAGGTGTGCACCAGATACTGAGGTGGGCACCAGGTACTATAAGGTGAGCACTAAATACTATCAGGTGTGCACCAGATACTGTATGGAAAGCACTCGATACTATATATTGAGCACCCAATACTATCAGGTCTGCAGCAGATACTAGGGAAAGCACCCAATACGTTGTATTGAGCACCTGATTTTATCAGGTGTGCACCAGATACTGAGGTGGGCACCAGGTACTATAAGGTGAGCACCCAATACTATCAGGTGTGCACCAGATACTATGGGGAGAGCACCCGATACTATCCGGTGTGCACCAGATACTGAGGTGAACACCCAATACTTTGTGTTGAGCACCCAGTACTATCAGGTGTGCATCAAACATCTGAGCTAGTGATGTTGATCAGCTAGAGTAAACATTTCCATTCGCTTTTTTGTTTTTAAAGTTCTGGATTTTTAGTTTCTGTTTCTTCATTTGTTTGTTTGACTGCTTTAATTCAGCTCACATAAACACTCTCAGTGAAACAGTGCAAAGCAGAACTTTAGATGAACAAAATCAGTATTTCTCATCAATTTAAACCTTAAACCCATCAAATCAACTTTTGTTCCCCTTTTTATTGTGTTGTTTACCTGATCAGCCACACAATAATAATTATGATAAGAATCAAAGCTCCAGAGTAAATCATCTTCACTGCTTCACAGATCTGAATAAAACAGTGGATCTACATTAATGTGATCAGCTGTTAGTGGTTCTGAGGTCACTGTGCTGCTGGGTTTGGATCAGCTGACCATCATAGAGGTCACAGATATTAGATACTGACCTTTAAAGCAGTGTTCTACTGACCTCTAGTGGTCAGAGATGTGAACTGCAGTTAGTGAGTGTTTTGTGCAGCAGAGCAGTGCTGTCCTGAGAGGAATCTCTCTCTCTCTCTGTGTGTGTGTGTGTGTGTGTGTGTGTGATTGTAAATCATCTTTAGAGGATTTGATGTCCAGCCATTCTTCAGTGTTGCTATTTTCAAGAGCTAAAAGACCTCAAAGTCATTTTCTACATGTCTAAACTTCACAGTTAGATCTTCAGGCTCATCTCGATGGTGGACAAAAGCTTTTGACCCTTCATGCAGTTTAATAACTCTGAGCCCAAAGTAAATGCAGCTCTCTTTATTTTTCCAGTTTAAACCAGTTTTCTTACAGGGGGAGTTACTGATGGAGGAAATCAGCCGTTTTCATTGCTCTTCAGTACAGCAGTTCATGGGGGGCTGGTGGGCTGTTGGTTTCATCAGCAGAAGGTGCTCAGAGTGAATGGTTGAGTCTCAGGAGTTGCACCGATCAGCCGTTTCCTGAATATAAACTCTGTTACCAACAGTGTTCCAGTACCAGCAGAGTTCACCTGATTTTCTGTGTCTTTTTTAGGTTAAATTACACAGTAAAGACTAAAAAGCTGAATGTCGTCTTCTTTTCTACGGTTAGTAAAAGATTCTTTACAGCTCTACAAGACGTCTTGAATATGAGCACAAAATAAACTTTTGTAGGAGGGTTTGGGTGTTTAGGGTGGGGATATAGGGTGTGGTGTTTTGGGGTTGGGGGTTTGGGGATTTGGGGCTTTGAGATTGGGGTGTTGGGGGCTTAGGGTTGGTGGGTTTGGGGTATGGGGGTTTGGGCGTTTGGATTTTGAAGGGTTGGAAGTTGTCAGGCAGGAAGGTATCGGCCTGTTTTTGATTTTGGACCAGGTTTAAGCTCAACCCAGGATCAGTCCCGGGTTCAAAAACAGCTGCCAAAGAAACTGATCTCTCAGTGAAAGTGATAACAGATACAGTGTTTTATTTACAGTCAAAAGTCGACAAATTGAGCTTAAACTCACATTCACTCTACACACGACTGATCTTGTGTGTAAAGTGGACGCTGGTCTGTGCAGCGGAAGAGAAGAGAAAACTTTTAGCCACTGTGGGTTAAATCAGTAGATGAGCTAATGCTAATGCTAACAGTACACACACACACACATCACACCCACATACACACACCACCACACACCACACATCACACACACACACACTCAACTACCCACACACACACACACACACACACACACACACACACACACACACACACACACATACACACACTCACACACACACTCAAACATACCCACACACACACACACTCACATACACATAAATGAGCCAGTCTGAATCCCAGA